AGCACTTTCATATCACCATGAAGCCCATACTCATCTCGTTAAAATAGTATTGTGACCATGTGATGTGGAGGCAAAATGATTGCCTTTAAACCCTCATTTCATAGGCATAATTCTCGGCCATTTTGTGTTCGTTTTGGTATGGCGGCTGACTAAGTAGATTTTCGACCATTAGGCATACGCCCTTAATAAAGAAAAAGCCAAAAATGCGGAAATATACAGTCGCCAGTGAATAATTAGAAACTTATGATTAAGTTTCGTATTTTCATTTGAAAAGTCTTAAGAAAAATGGTTAAATGATCAAAAAACCGGTAACAAAAACTAAAATTAATTTATCTCTAGGAGGAAGCAAGTCCGATTTCCAAAACTGGGGAGTAAAAAGAAGTTCAACAAGATAAAACGATGTGTGAGCTGGAAACATACTGAAATTTCGGTTCACAATCCGAATAATAGTGATAATTATTGCTCGCTATTTCGGTGAAAATCATAATGCTTGTGATGGGGTTTATGTGAATATTATCTACTTGTCACTTGCTCTTCGTTTATATCTTGTTCAATACCAAATAATTAGAAGCTACCATTGACGCTAGCATGAGTATGCTTGATGCGCAAGTTCAAGTGCCGCCTAGTAAAGCTTGGTACTTTCCATTTGCTCTGCACATGTTCCAATCAGACGGCAGCCTTCACTGTCACGAGAATAAAAATGCAATTATTGATGTAGTCAAGCTGTCAGCTACTATGTCATCCACCAGCCATAGCACGTTGGAATGAGGCTCTTGACTTCATTCAGCGTATGGACCCTGAATTTTAAGCTGGAAGACAAATAGGGCTAGAAAAATATGACGAGATTTACTGTACTGCACGAGAATTGTGTCCCTGTACTTGAGTCTTGTGCAAATATACTATGGATTTACAAGCATTTAACCAACGTAACTATTTTCTTGGTCCTGTTGCCAGGGGACTTAGTAGCACCATGTCCGAAGTACTCTGCCATAGTAGATATCATAATTTCCAGCATCAAACCGTGAACTTGGTACA